GGCTCTCCTTTGGCTTCTCTTGTTCCCCTCGGCGGAACCTGACCCAGATGGCCTCCGAGAGGGACCCTGCGCCCCCTTCGCAAGGGCACCCCCTGGATCTGGAGCAGCTCTGCCACCCAGCCCTCCCCCTGGCACATCCCTTAAGGAGGGAGTCTGCCAACAGCCCCCAGGGGACGCAGCCTGCCCAGCCCGGCCTCGGGCACAGCCGCCAGGGCACCCCAGGCCACTGGAGGGACGGGCTCTGCAAGGCTGGCGGGGGTGGGGGGAGGCCAGGACCAACCTGCCTGATGTCTGTGAGCAGAGAGTCCGAAATGCCCTCAGTCAACAGGGCCACCAGGCGGAGCACCTGCAGCTGCCTCGTCTGCTGGGGGAGGGCTGGGTGGCAGAGCTGCTCCAGATCCAGGGGGTGCCCTTGCGAAGGGGGCGCAGGGTCCCTCTCGGAGGCCATCTGGCTCAGCTCCTGCCGAGGGGAAGAAGGGAGGCTAAAGGAGAGCCTTATGGGACGAGCTCCCCGTGGAGATCCGGACCCTTACTACCCTCCCGGCCTTCCACAAAGCAATTAAGACCTGGCTCTTCCAGCAGGCCTGTTGATTTATCCAGCCCCCTTTTATCTTATGAAGGTTGTGGGATTTTAATGTTTGTACTTTTTAATTTTCATAAGTTCCCCTCCCTTCTTTTTCTGTAAGCCGCCCTGAGTCTTTCGAGAGTGGGCGGCATACAAGTCCTCATAAACTCAAACTCAACAACTGGATACGTGGCTTGCTTCAGCTACACACAGACGCACCACCTGTGTGTGTGTGCAGGACTCTAGAGGAGGCCCATCCAAACCCTCAGTTCCACTTGCAGCCCATCCACGTCCAGCGCCCTGCGGCTTCCCTCCTTGCACCGGTCTTGGCAGCTGAAGGGGAGCCTTGAAGGACAACGCCCGACCTCGGCCACTCCTGGCATGGCGCCCATCCTACGCGTGTGGAAGGAGCAGGCGCCCCACACTCCCACGGAGGCACCCAGAGATGCTCTGGGCCCCACCTTCAAGCAGCCCAGGAAGAAGTCTCCAGCTAGGCTGCCCCTCCGGCACTGAGACAACAAGTCCACCAGCTGCTCCAGCTGCCACTGCTCTTCCGACAGCTTCCGATACAGAGCCTCGTCTTCATCACTGCACAGGTGGAGAGCAACGTAAGGGACAAAGGAGGAGGAGGGGGCTCTGGGCCGGACCGTCCCTCCCATCCCGCTTGGAGCAAGGGAGCGTCCTTTCCTCACGGCTGACCACCTGCAGGTAGAAAGCTGAGAATCCTCCTGGGAAGGGCCTCCCGTGCCCCCCATCCCATGCCCCTGGGGTAAGGGGCAGCTGCCTTTGGACAGGCAGGCTCTCTGCACCCACCTCCTGGGGTGGGGGGGAAAGCTGGGGTACCTTTTCTGGCAGCCCAACTGCAGCCATCTGGATCAGAGCCCCCTCCCTCCCTCCCTCCCTCCCTCCGACTGGGGACGCCCAGCAGACTCTCACCTCTCAGCCTCCCTGATGGTGGCCACCACGCCCCCTTCGCTGCCCACCTGGAACTGGCAGTGGGGGTGGGGCAGGCGGGGGCTTCCTCTGAGCTCCGCCAAGCCTTCCAGGGCCTCCAGGGAGGCCTGTTGCTCACTCTTCTCCAGGAACCACAGCAGGATCTCCTGGCAGGGGGTGCTGAAAGCAGCAAAGGGGGGGGGGCATTCACCTCAATCCAGGGGAAGGTGGCTTTGGTGAGAGGCAGCCCAAAAGCCCCCCCCCCCGAGGAAAGCTGCCTCTGCTAGAAGAGGGGCAGGACGTGGAGGCCCTGGGGTCTCCTGGGCAATGGGGACTACAAAGAGGACGGGCAGTCCCCCTCCCACCCCTTCTCTTTCAGTCTGTTGGTATCCTTGGATTGGGTTCCCCTTTTCAGAGGAGTTGCACAATCCCCCCTCCCATCCCAGGGACTTCCCACCCAGGCAGAAAAGCCGGCACTGGTGGGGCCTCGGTTGAGAGGGACCGGGAGGAGAAGAGCTCCTGGGAGAGGCCCCCAGCCCACAAGAGAGCCCTGGAGATTCCCCCGCCAGGCCGGGCGCCTCACCGCAAGGAGGACACGTTCTGCTTGGTGAAGCACCAGAGGGAGAAGACGGCCCCCAGCGCAGGCTGCAGGGCCCCCAGGAGGCAAGGCAAGGGCTCATTGCCCACCACACAGACCTGCAAGGGAAGAGCAACGGAGAGGAGGAAGACTCTGCACAAACTCCATTGGCAGCCTTCGCACACACATCCCCTGCCCCTCCCAAAGGCTTGCAGAAGACGCTTCCAGTCCTCTTTGTTTCTGCCCGCCGTCTCTCTGAAGGAGTTCGTTGGTGCCCAAGATGCTCTCGAGCATCCACAGGGTTTAAATGCTCACGCTATTGAGACCAACAGAGCAGCCAAGCCCGTTGCACGGGCCTCCCGAGACCTCCGAGCCTGCTCATGGCTCAGCCCCCAAGCCTGCTGGTAAGACAGCCCTGTGCTTGGGCTCTTCCCCTTCTGGGATCCGGCTGATCCTTGGAGGGCCTGCGGCTTCAGTCCAGAAGGGCAATGCTGAATCCTGGCAGCCAACAGCTGGCCGAGAGAAGGTGGACTAAAGGCATGTGGGAATGGCGCCTCCCCCTGGCATTTCAGGGAAGAGCATTTTGCCTATTTCAGCACAGGGAGGCCACAGCTGAGGCCTTCCTCGGCCTCCGCTCCCCCTCCCAACGCCGCATGCAGGCAAGGGTGCTGGTGCCGTACCTTGTACACCGTTTCCACGCACCCCGAGAGCAACTCCTCTTCCACCAGCACCGACCCAGCTGGCAGGTCTTCCAGGGAGCCTTCTGAAGACAGAAAAGGACCGTCATGTGGGTGCAGCTAATGCTGGGCTGGTTTCACTTCATTATATTCTGCCCTTTCAGTGGCAAAGGAAATATTTCATCCCAGCACGACTTCCTTCCCTGGGAGCCACCCAGCTGCCAGGCTAGAAACTATGGGATGGGTGTCCTGGAGGGGGGGAGGCAGGGCTGCTCTGGGCCAGGCCCTCACTCAGGCCAAGCTCCTCACAGGAGCGTTAAGAGCACTTGAGTTGTGTGAAACAAAGGCAGGATATAAATCTGAACTGATGAGTAAAACTTTGACTCAATTGAGCGTTATCTCAGCCTACCAAGCTTATCGTGCCCAGCACGGCTTCAACTGCTGATACCGGATTGTTATGAGCTGCCCAGAATTCACGGGTGAACCGACCAGAGGGACCCATTTCAGTCCCACTGGAGGACCCAGAATCCCATAGCCACCAATTCTGGCTAGAGCAGCCGCTGAAAAAACAAGGAGCTTCCCACCTTCCCAGGTGGCAGAAATTTATTTGTTGGCTTAAGTCATTCCATCATTCAAGGAACCTCCATGGCCGGCCAAGTCGACCAAGTGACTCTGGGAGGCTGACGATTCCAAAATCGTGAAAAGGACGAGGCATCAGCCGACTCCGCAGCCTGGCCAAGCGTTGAGGGGCCGGGAGGCTGTTACCTGGCTCTCCCAGGCAGCGCAAGAGGGGCTCCAGCAGGGGGCGCAGCAGGTGCTCCTTGGCCTGCTGGGGATGTTGCCTCACCATGGCGAGGACCGTTGCGGTCGCCACCCGTTGGAACTGGCGCATCATCAGCTTATCCTGGATGAGGAAGAGCTGCAGAATCTTTGGAAGGAAGAGACAAAAGCAGAGTTTTATGCTCAAAGTACGGGCTGCTCACCAGCAATGTTTCTAAGGTTGTGCCTCTTAGCCTCCACTCTACCTCAAACGGCCCCAAGGGGGCGAGGGGGAACAAGCCCCAAAGGCTCAGCAGAAACCGCGGCCCCCGAGGGCCAACCCAGGAAACGGGAGTCTCTTGGCGAGCAGCAGATGGGAGGGGAAAGGGAGCTCTGACTCACAAGCACTCCCTGGGTTGCCCCGGAATGCCAGTTGCCGGGTAAAGGGAAGGGGCAGAGGAGGTACCTGAGGGCAAATCCCTTGACAATAATTCTCCAGGGACAGAGATTGCTGAGGGCACGAGGACAGGATCTTGGCGATGGCCTCGCACTTCTGCCAGTCAGCTGCTGCCGCTTCTGCACTGCTGCCCCGCACGGCCCCAGCTGGAAAGCAGGAGGCTCCGTGTTAGACGAGCACAGAGGGAGCTGCCCATCCTGAGGCCAGAGAGACTCACGATGCCCTCCACCATGAAGGGGAGCTTCCCCCAGGCCGTAATCGCCTCGCTCAGCATCTTGCCAGGCTGCCTTGGATCTTCCTCACCCTTCCTGCTCTTAAGAGAGGTGCAAAAAGCCTGGGACCGAATTGTGCTCTGCCTAGAAGAGCCGGTTCGTGGGAAAGGCCGTGCAGAGAAGAGGGGCCGGCGAGAGGGAAGGTCATGTACCAGGTTGCCTTATTTGCCCCATCTAGAAGGTTTGGTTCTGGCAAACTGATTGATCCAAAAAACACAGGGATTCGTCCAGATATTTTCCTGTTTCATGCAGATCCTTATTTATTAAAACAGAACGATTATATGTAAACCTGGCTGGGCCAAGTTTAGAAACAGTGGAACAAAGGACTCTTTTCTGCTCTGGTCCCAGCCTTTGAATGACGGATCTTTCAAGCTTCACTGACCTCCGGCTTCCTCCAGGATGCCCCGGAGCACAGCCTGAACTCCACCAGGTCTTAACAGCCTCCCAGACAGCAGGTGCCCACAAAGGCGCTGAAGCCAGGCCGGTGCTAGTGCCGTACGAGGCTCGTCGTTCTGCTGGCTGCGACGGCAGGCCTGGAAAAGAAACGTTATGTGCACGATGGACCACCAGCAGCCCTGCTGTGCACCATCCCTTCTCCTTGACCCCTGCCCTTCCCCAAGCAGAACGGACTCGGGTCACTTGACTGAAAGCTTCCCTGAGGGCACCATTCACCTAGCAGCAGACTCCCACCTAACAAGACTGGGTTGGCCCTGGAGCTGTCAGATTGTATCGCAGACCTGGGGGCTGCCTCCTCCTTTCCTTTCCCACTGATCCAGGGGCTAGGAGGGCCCAGGTTGCATCTCTGGCGGGGTCTCTCGGGACAGGCCATCAGGCAGCAGGACTGAGAAAGGCCCGTTCTGCAGAGCCACAGCTAAATTAACCCACTGGCAGCGCTGAGCTGGAAGGAGAGATCAGGGCTGTGGTGGGACTCCCTTAAAAGGAAGCTTCCATGCCAGTGTTTCCCATCCTTGCCAACTTTAATATATGTGGACTTTAAGTCCCAGAACCAGCATAATATTGGCAAGGTTGGGAAACACTGGCATGGAAGCTTCCTTTTAAGGGAGTCCCACCACAGCCCTGATCTCTCCTTCCAGCTCAGTGGTTTTATACCTTTGGTGCTTGTTCCCCTGGGATCAGTGACATGGTATTCACGTGGCATGTATCCATTGTCATAGCTGAGCCACATCCATGGGATTCAGTTTTGGATCTCTCCAAAAATGCTTCGGAGAGGGGTGGGGGGATGAGGAAGAAAGATTTGCAAGCAGGCACCCACAACGGAACCAACTCACAGGATGCAAATCTAGTTTCTCTATGGCTCACAGTGCTACCTGCTTAGGCCCCCCCTGAAGGAGCAGCAGTTCCCGGATCACCAGGGGCTGGTATGCTTTGTCCAAAAGGCCTTGCAAGGCTTCTTTGCAGCTGCTCTGTTCCTCTTCCGTCAGCCCCTGAAAAAATCCCAGAGAGGTACAAGAAT